AACAATAGAAAAAACAGTGTCAAACAAATTTGCTTGGTTTCAAAGGCATATAATGTGATGTCAATATTTTGTAGGTGAAGGCGTAAAGGATAGGCAAAGATCAAATCTGTTTTTTTAAATGGAATGATATATTTTTTTATTTACATTCTGATAGAGCATTTTAAGACAAATACAATGACCTATAATTGAAGATTATTCAAGGTTATGCAAGGTCAATAATGGAAAATAATTGAATGTAATGGAAAATAAATTGTTTTAAGGCACTTTTCGAATAATTTCGTGTCTTTTCTTCTTGTTGGTATACCGTTAATTGTTCAAGTGTATCACGGTATATAAATAAACATTGAAGGTTTATTTAAACATAACAAGGTTAGCTGTAATTGAAAATTAATTGTTTGAAGGCATTTTTTGAATATTTCACTAATTTACTTATTTGCGTATTTACCATTACAACAAGTGTTCAAAATGATGACCCTGAACATCGACGCATTTTTTGAAACGTATCAACACAGATAACACTGCACAACGAATTTTATTCGAATCAATCGCAAGTTCTTATACGCTTCTTTATGTCTTCTCTTGTTAAAGGCATTTCGCTGTACTTGTTGTTTTAACTTTCCCTACAAATAAAAATCCATAGGTGTTAACTCTGGGGAACGTGTGGCCCATCTGTTATTTCCTGATCGATCAATCCAACGATGTCCAAATTTTCTGTTTAGCAATTCATTTTAATAATCCGTGCAGAATGAGCAGGACATCCATCTTGCTGGTATCACATTGATTGTCGTACGTTCAGTGGAAGATCTTCTAATAATAGTGGCAATATTTCTGTTAAAATCTGTGCGTACGTGCGACTATTTAATGGTTCATCGATAAAATGAGGACCATTATTTTATCATTAAGAATTCCAGACGTATATATACCAAGGTCTCTGCCTGTCTCTCATCTAATGTAGGTTTTTTACTGACCAATAGTGCATGTTGCGAAGATTTACTTTCTATTGTTTGTA